ACCATTTATTTAAAAATATGTTTCTTACAGTGAACCTGTTTGGCCCCTTTGTCAAAGACAGGGTGATTGAGTGTGTTTGAGGTTGCATTCGCATCTTCTGTTCCACTGACGTTCAGGCTTATTATTTAACCAGTACCATGCTGATTTTATCACAGTTAGGTTTGTAGTATAATTTCAGGCCTGGGATTGTAATATTGTTTGACTTGCCTTTGTGGCCCAGAATTGCTTTTGTTATTCTGTGTCTTTCTGGTACTCAATGAACTTCAGGCATATTTTCTCTAGACCTATGAGGTTTGCTAATGGTATTTTGATTGGGATTTCATTAAATCTGTACAACACTTTTGGGAATATGGCCATTTTCACTCTGTGCATTCTTCCTGTCCATGAGCAAGGAACATCTTTCCATTTTCTCATATCCTCTTCCAGCTCCTTTTTCAGATTAGTATAATTTTCAATATATAGATCTTTTATTTCCTTTGTTAGATTGATTCCTAAGTATTTCTTTCTTTCTTTTTTTGTGGGGGGGGGGATGGTATTGTGAAGGGTGTTGTTTGCCTAATTTTATTCTCAGTGAGTTCCTTGTTTTGTACAGGAACAAAATTTATTTTTTAGTGTTGGCTTTTTATTCAGCTATGCCACTAAATTTGCTTATTAAATCCAGTAGTCTTTTCATGGAGTTTTGAGGGGTTTCTATGGAAAGTATTGTGTCATGTGTGGATAATGATATTCAACTTCTTCCTTTCTTATCCTTATTTCTTTTATTTCTCTCTCCTTTCTAATTGCTCTGGTTAACATACCAAGAACTATGTCAAATAGGTGTGGTGACAGTGGACATCTTTGTCTTGTTCCTAACTTTACAGTGAAAGGTTTCAGTTTTGTCCATTTAGTGTTATGTTGGCTGTTGGTTTCTCTTAGGTAGCTTTAGTCATATCAAGTTAAAGGTCACCTATTCTGATTTTCTGGAGGGTTTTTATTCATGAATGAATGTAGAACTTTAATAAAAGCTTTTTCTGCATTTCTTGAGATGATCATGTGATTTTTGTCACTGATTACGTTGATATGATGTATTACAATTCTGATTTTCCTATGTTGAACCACCCCTGCATTCTTGGGATAATTGCAGTTGGTCATGGTGTATAATCTTCTTGATGATTTGCTGCACTCTGCTTGTTAGTGTTTTATTGAGGATGTTTTATTATTGCTTATTTGGTTTTTCATGTCTATTAGTATTTTTCTTATATACATAGGTGCTCCTATATTTGGTGCATATATATTTATGGTTGTTATTTTTTTCCTCTTGAGGCTTTTCCCTTGAAAATTACGTAGTCACATTTGTTTTTTTCCTTTTGATCATTCTTGCTTTGAAGTTCTCATTGTATACAAACAGAGAAGTTCCCCCTGATTTTTTCTGTGCTCCTGTTGCTTGGAGTATTGTTTTCTATCCTTTGACTTTCAGTCTGTTTCTATTTAAGTTAAATGTGTTTCTTATTGGATCTTGTTTCTTGACAATTTTTTTCTGTTGAGTAGTGAATTGTGGCCATTTACATTAATGATTATAACTGGTGTATATTGGCTTATCATGGTCATGTTATTTTCCTGCTGTAGATTCCCTACTTTCCCCCTCTTTTTAATTGCTTGTTTTGCTTAGTGGTTCCTTTCTATTGTTCTTGAAGTTGGTGTCATTTTTTTCTCTTTCTATAATATTTGTTAGGGTTGGTTTGGAAGTCATCAATCTCTTCAGTTGTTCTTTGTCATGGAAGTACCTTATCTCTCCAATAAATTAGATAGATACTTTTTCAGGGTACATCAATCTGAGTTGGAAATTGTTTCCTTTCAGACTTAAAATTCTTTACTCCAAGCCCTTTTCAACTTAAGGGTTTGTGCTGAGAAGTCAGCCATGACTCTAACAGGCTTTTCTTTATACGTGAAGGAGGTAGGAAAGAAATCACAAAGGAGTATCTGAGGGATTATCTGAACTTGGTCTTTGGGTTTGGGGATGGGATTAGTTTTCTGTAGCTGGAGTTCTTTCCAGCTGTTTAGAAAAGTGAGACAAAAGTGAAAAAAAAAAGAGAAAAGAATTGAGAAAAATAAAAAGAAAACAGGAAAAGAAAAAGAACATAAGGTAAAAATAAAAATAAAATAAGATAAATTAAATTTTAAAAATTATTAAGAGGGATTGGCCCAATCCACCTAATTCTATTCTGTGTGTTGTTATCCCTGGGCACAATGTGATTCACCTAACTTACTACTTATTAGCTCATATTTGAAATTTTCAATCTTGCTAGTCTTGCTTGTCCATTGTGTGTGCCTTAGTTGGGATCCTACTGTGTGGCTGGTGTTCTCCAGTTGCATAGTCCCATTGTTGAAGGGGTAGGGACCAGATACCTGGATACTTCTGGCAGGGCCATTTGGCTCCATAGCATAGAAGGAGGGACCAGTCACCTGGACACCTCCAACAAGGCTCGTTGCCAAGCCTGGATTCTTCCTGGACTAGTTGCCACGTCTCCTGACTTTTCTTATATTAGTAATTGAACTTCAGTTTGCCTTGTAATCTCAGATTTAGACACATCTAACAACTTTTTATACCTTTTTCCTTTATTTTTATCCAACTTAAAATATTTTTCTTTTTCCTTTATGATTTCTTCTTGATACAGTAAAAGTGTGTTATTAATTTTCAAATCTTCTGTGTTTTCAGGGGTTTTTTAGTTGTCTACTTCTTCTTTAAGTTGTGGTAAGACTGTATATGCTACATTATTTTAAGGTTTAGAAATTCGATATTTGTTTTATGACCAAGCATATGGCCTATTTTGGTGGATTTAAAATATTTTTATGGGGTGAATAAATATACTGCTGTGATTTTTTACTACATGCCCTATCAACTAATGGGAAAAAAGTGTTGAAATATACAACTGTAATCATGGGATTTCTCTTTTCTTTGGTTCATATTTGTTTTGTGTATAATGTAAAGGTCTTTGTATAGTGTGAATAAACACATTTAGAATGATTATCTACATGTGTTAATCAGTTTACTTTTATGATATCTTCTTCTAATCTCTGGTAAATTTTCTTATCTTGAAATTTATTTTATGACTACTCCAGCTTTCATTTGGATCTTGTTAATATAAGAATTTTTTCTAACCTTTTATGTTTAACATACTTGTGCTTTCACACTTAACTTACATAAATAGTAGATAACATATGGATGATATTTGAGTCTATATTCCATCTGAAAATATTAATCTCTTCCTATTAATTAGAGTTTTCAAATCACATAGAGGTACTATAATCATTAATATTGTTATATGTAAACTTATCACCATTCTCTTTTAGATTTTTACTACTGCTTCTGTGTATCATTTGTCATTCCTTTTTGCTCTTTTCTTCCTCTTTTCAGACTGAATTTTTCATAATCTCCTATAATTTGCAGTATGATTATTGTAACTAAACTATTTTAAGTAATTGCTCTAAGATTTATAATACATAATTTTAAATTATCACAGTCTACTTGAAAATAATATTCTACTAATTTATATGTAACATGAATTTTAAAAGTATTTCCATTTTTATTCCAGTGTTACAATTTTCATATAACTTACATTGAAAAATTTTAAAACCCATAATATATTGTTATTTTTAGAAACATAAATACTGTGCCTAAATAGTTAAGAAATAGCTAAACTATTATCCAAAATAGGTAACATATTTTACATCCCTACTATGTTAGAGTTATACTTTTTCTACATTTTACCAACATCTGCAATTACTTTAATAGGTATACAATGCTATCAAATGACAATTTTAATCTTAATTTTCCAAATGAGAACAATGTTGAATATTTCATGAGTTTTTCAGCGATTTGCCCATCTTTTTTATGAAATGTCCAATCCTTTCCCCATTTCTTAATTATATCATCAACTTATTTGCTAAGCTGCAAATGTCTCTCTCATTCACACATGCACATGCACACAGCACACACACCTATGTCAAACATATTAGACAAATATTTTCTTCCATTTTGTGAATTTTTAATTTTCTTCATAATAACACTTTTTAAAAAGTGAAAGGTTGTTTGTTTGTTTGTTTGTTTGTTTGTTTGTTTTTGCGGAACCGGGGATTGAACTCAGACCCTTGCGCTTGCTAGGGAAGCGCTTATTCCACTGAGCCATCTCCCCAGTAAAAAGTGAAAGTTTTAATTTTGCTAAAGCACTATTCATTAAATATTTCACTTATACCTTATGATTATATCTTCTCTAATAAACTTTGGCCTACTCTATGGTCACCAGTATTTCCCTTCATTTCTTCTAACATAAATACTGTGCCTAAATAGGCACATTTTATCATTTTTTAGCTACTATGTTTGTGTTTATGGCTTATTTTGAATTAGTTTTGTATATGGTACAATTTCTTAACTTTTTACTTATTTTTTAACACTGTTTGAAACTAGCCCACATGCTATACATCAGCCTAGAAGGCCTGGAGGCCAGCCCCAGCATTAGCTCTTCTTTACATCACCAGGACCAGTGTACAGATCAAACGAGAAAGGTAACTGGAGGGTTGTGAATGTACTTTTAAAAAAAAAAAAAAAAACGTATTTAGTAGAGTCTACAGGGTCTCTCTAGACAGATGCGACTCATAGTGATCTTCCTGTTTTCAGTCTCCCAAGTGCTCGGATTATAGACACGCTACCATGCCCAGTCTCAATCGCTGCCTCAGCATGCCCTGGGGCTCGGGGCCGGCATAGCACATATGTGTATATATGCACATATATAAATGTACATATGTATAAAAATGTACATATGTATAAAATATATATTACATATGTCTATAATGAAAACATTTGCTAGATGAGGTCAACAGAAGATTTAGATACTACAGAGGACAATGAAGTTTAATTGAAGATGAAGGAACAATAGACTTTTTTCTTTAAAAGTTCCACTTAAGACTGGTATTTTTCCATTTTCTCATTTTCTTCCTATTTTCTATGTAAGTATACACATATGTAATATATGTTTTATACATATGTACATTTGTGTATGTGTATATATATATATACATAGATGATTTATACCATTTTAAAGTTAAGTGTCAATAATTTCATTATCTTTTTCATTGATCTGCTCTTTCGATTGACATTCTCACGTTTTGGATCACATTTTCTTATTTCACACGTGTGTCCATATTTTGCTGGCTCATGTCCAATGATGTCTTTGTAGACCACCTTTGAGTCACACAGACTCCTATGAAGTGATCTGGCTTGCTTTGTCTGTCCGGCTCCCTCCTCTTCAGGAGTCCGCTCTAAAAATTCTAGCTGCCTTGGCTTCCCCAAAGGCTGCATTTGTCTCCTGAATTCACTGATGTAACCAAGCTTTGTTGGATTCCTCTTCACTATGCTACAGCAGAAATTACCTTCAGGCAGAAAGCCTGGTGAAGCTTGGCCTACTTCTTGTTTCTTTTCCTACAAATATCGCTGGCCTACGCTGTCAACCATCACGTACCACAAAGGTGTTATTCCCTCAACTGTTTTTAGTTATCTACTTATGTATGGTTGGAGAGTGGTTGCATATTCTCATTTTCTCTCATGACCAAGTTCTGATGTAATATAGAAAGAAATTTGATTATAGAAAATCCTATACACCTTTAAAATATAATAAAATGAAATAAAATTTTTCAATAAAAGTGACTAAGCGCTTGGTTCAATCCCTGGCACCGCATGCCGCACCGGCCCCACCCTCGGGCATGCTGAGCCAGCAAGGGAGTCCAGGCTTGGTGGCGCGCACCTGTAATATCAGCACTAGGGAGTCAGGAATCAGGACCACTATGAGCCTGAGCTGTGTAGTGAGTCCCTTTAGGGAGAAAAAAAAAAAAAAAAAGTAAGTAAACTCCTTTTAATTTTAAGATTGGGGAGAATTGGTCACAATTGTAAGTTTCCTATTACATAACACAGAACATCCCTTAACTCCTTCCTCCATAGCTGGCATCTGTGTTCAGGCTAGCACGGTGGTGAAGGGAGAGACCTTTGGTCCACGCTATGTCTCATCTAGGATCTTCCTTTCACCCCTCATTATCCTAGCCCAGTGTCTCCTGAGGTGTGACTGGTCTAATTTTGTTGCATGGAGTTAAGGCGTCATCTATGTTGATGCCTGGGAATTTCATCTTCTTGAATACGAAGGTCCTCATAATAGCTTTTGTCTGTTCCGCTGTTTATGTCAGTCCCATGACTTTTATCAGAGGCTCAAGAGCCATCAGCTCTTTTTCTCCACTATGCTGCAGTATGCACAATTTTTTTGAGGCCACCTTCAAATGTGCCCTCAGAAGGGCTCCTCTACCTGCAGAAGACAGTGCGCCAGACAGCATTCTGGATCCACCGCTTAGCTTAGGAGCTTGCGACGTTCCCTTTCTCCTCTCTCAAAGGCACAAAGACACAAATAGGTGAGCTGATCACCCATATCTGTCCTCCTCTCCTTCTCTTTAAGACTCTGCTTTCTGAATGAAAGGCAAAGGCAATTATCTGACTCATAAGGCATCTCTCCTTACAACTCTCTGCTTGCATTATATCACATCTTCTTATAAAGACAATAATACTCTTAGACTCGAGAGACCCATGCCCAGAATTTGAATGCATAGGGATGATTTTGGAACTTACAAAATATGTTTGTTTGTATAGAATGACACTTTATGACCAAAATCTTTTAATTATTTAAAAAGATATTTTTTGAGAAGTAAAAAAAGAAAAAGAAAAGAAAAGCCTTCCCTGCTCTGTATCCACCCTGAACCTGAAGCAATGCATGCTATTGATTCTACAAATGTGAACACAGCTCAGTACCTAAGAACTGGGGAATAGAAAGTACTGGTTTCATTTTTTAAAAAAACATTATTTCTTTTACCTGCTCTATTATAAAACTTTGCAAGAGAATTGGCTCTCATTGTAGCTTCTCTTGCTTTTGATATCTACATGTCCAGTTACAATAAATACTAATATTCAAAATCATTAGACTACAGAAGATGTATCAAATGTATCTGTCTGTTCTGATCCATCTAATTCCCACAACTACCCCATGCAGTATATATTATCTGACTCCCTCCTATTTTATAGTAAGAAAGGCTAAGGAAAGAAAAGGTTTAAATAACTTGCCCAAAATCACAGTTAATCATGGATAAATTTAAACTCTGAAACTTTAATTATCAGCATTTTCAGCAATAAAGTGAGAATAAAATTATAGTAATATGAGTGAGGCAATACATGTAATAATTGAACAAAAGTTTCCCAGATGCAGACCAACTTGATTCAAATTCCTGTGTACCTATCTAGTGATCTTGAGTTTCTTGGCTTTGCTGTCATTCAGTTGCTTCAGCTCTAAAACAAGAAGGATCACTCAGTAAATGTGAGCTCCTTTCAAAGGTCTACCCTACTTTATCCGAAGTCTTGCAAAGTAAATATTGGAATTTGGTGACATTTGTTTTGTAGATTGACTATAAGAAGTATAACTCGGCCTCAGAGAAAACACCTACAACCAAGCATTGAGATTTATGTCTCAGAGTCCATGAAGAATCATCTTAGTAGGACAAAGACTAAAAAGACTAGGCCAGGTGTTGCTATCAATCCAATCAGTACAAATGTTTGTTTCTAGAGATTTTTTACTTAGAATTTCAGATGAAACATTACAAGCTGTTGTTTTACTTGCCTACTTTAAACAGTATGATATTTGTAAGCTAAATTAAGCACAATGCGTGGCCCATAATAAGCCCTCCATTGGGGTGAGTATGAAATTGATATGGAAATTAATACTTTTAGTTATTATGTTTACTCCGAAACTACTGGCAGAGATGCATCTTTAAAATTTTTATTGATTCTCTTAAAATTTCCCATGGACAACTTTCTGTGAAGTTCCTGAATAATCTTAGTGTATCATATTTTTTGTTTTCATTTTTTATTTTAAAAAGAATAGAAAAATAAAAGATGATACATTAGAGATGATACACAATTTAGAAAATAAGATAGGTATTCAACAGTGGTTGTTATATTGCACATTGCTGTCATCAAGGTAGTTGTTCAGATTACAGATATAAGCATATAAAATTGGTCAAAGTAAAAATTTGAATAACTGCTACCTTTGAAAAACTGGTAGAAATTAGTAGTACAATCATCTTAGCTCTGCTGTGTATATTCACACATGATTTTTGCCCTTCCTTTTCTCTTTTCTCCTTTTCCTCATCCTAATTATTTATTCCCTATGTTCAGTCTCATTCTTTTTCTTATATCTATTGTACTTTTGAGATTTTATTTACTCTTTCATGTTCTTACACTAGGTACTGTACCATATTTTATGCCTTGGCGTGAAACTCATGTGTCCCTTTATCTCTTTCACTTTCCTTGGTGAGCACACCATTATTCTGTCCCCATCTTTACCTGTATGATGAGATCAGTCAAAGTAAAAGAGAGAATGAGAATGTGCTCTCCGGAAAATGGAAGAAGGAATGGATGAGATGATAGCTGTTGATTATTGCGCATTTGCTCTGGAATCTGTGCTACTTCAAATAATTGTGAACTTTAATTCTCTAAACTGATTTGTGCTGTGAATACTGGATTCCCCTTTTCCAGATTGAGAGGCTGAGACACAAAGATACACATAATGTGTTCAAAGACTTCAGATAATTCCTAAAATGTGTATGTACTTTCTCCATCCTATGCTTTGGAAGATAATCACAAGTTATTTGTGGTTCCTAAGAGGATAAACACTTCCAAAAGCTAAGAATCACTGAGATTATACATGTGAAATTGCTAGATATTTGGGTGGATCGATGCATGCAATAAGATTCAAGATTCTGTTAAGACATATTTTCAAGCCCCTCCTGCCCATGTGCCAATCTAGGTAGCGTACATTAGTCATTCAGCCGGGATGGGATTAAAAGACTATCCCAGCAGTAACAATCTCTTATAAAAAGCCTAAGGCTGCAGCAGTTCCTACATATCTCACTGTCAGCTTTTGCCCAGACTTCTCTTCCACTTGTTTCCTAGTCTGTCACCTTCATTAAATTAAGCACTCCTTTTGCAATGTCAGAAGTTGTTGACTTGAGCCTTTTACAGCTCAGTATATTAATATGGCTTTATAACCCACTAATATTATGGAATACTGGACTATATTAGAATGTTTTGCTGAATTCAAGTACCTACAGTATTTAAATGACAATGGTATACCCATCTCTGACAAAACTAAACCAAAAAAGGGGATACAAATGAAGGACCATTTTGTACCTGTATATTCAAAATAGGAGAGATATACAGCTACCTTTCTCTTAATTCAATGAATAAAAAGATTTGTACTAATAGTGTTTGTCGACAGGACATCATGTCTGCATCTTGTACTATGAAAAATCACTAAGAAGAAAACAATATGCAATGTATTAATTATTGAAACTGTCCTACTAAGCAGTTTTGAAACTGTTTCCTTGCTATTTGTTTTTTAATAAAATTAGTTTTTTAAAAAACTCTTTTTGTAGTAGATGCTGTATTCACTTCCTCTTTCCATTCCAATCTACAACATCTCACACAAAGTG